GCTTGGGCCAGTCGTTTCTTCCCTGCATCTGCTTCCCCGGAGGTAGCGCGGGGCAATGGTGTGCACCCACTTCCCAGCAGCTTTGTGCATGCAAAAAGCAAACAGGCCGAAACAAAGGGAAAGGCCTAAACAAAATCAGCTGGGGTCAAACACAATGTTCTGTTCTGCCTGAAACAAAAGTTCTGTTTTCAGGTCATTTAGCTCCTCATTTTTCTTTCTTTCCTTTTAACAAAAGAAAGAAAAAAAAAACCCACAAAGATCACTTGTAAACTGAATACAAACAAACTGTTTTGACTTTGGGGAGAATTTCATCCTCTTTTTCCCACATCATTTGGCCAGTCCAAACTTGCATTAATGAGTTTCCTATCTACCTTACAGAACATTCACCTAGCTCTACTTGCAGACCTTGTATTTCCATAAAGTACTGCATAACCTTCAGAGGAAAGATTCTGGAGTGCAAATTATTTTTGCTTTTGGGAAACAGAAAGGACAACTAGAAAACAAGTTACCTCTCTGCCACTAGTTTTAACGAAGCGCCTTGTCCAACAGAGTACATAAGGTAGTGTCTAAATGCTTTGCTGGACCACGCTATGTTATTTTAATGATGTGCCTAATGTGAGAAGATTTTTTTGAAACCCTGTTGAGATTGTGGTGGGGAAGGTGTGTAAACAGCATTTCAGCCAGAGGTCACTGAAAGTAAAGCAAAGCTTCTCTACAAAAAACAGGGAGATGTTTTATGGGCCGTCCTCTATATTTGGGCACTCCTTTGGGTGTGCAACCCAGTAATAACACCCACAATGAACTTAGAGATAGAAGAATCTTTTGCAAAAGGGGTAATGTCAGGAGGACGGGTCAATGTCCCAACCATTGTACCTTGTATTTACTTTTGATGCCCAAAGACTAAACATTGCACTAGAAAATAAGGTGAGATTTACATAATGCCGATCAATTTGAAATTTACAGTAAGTGGAACTGCTTTTAATTGCATTTCACAGCGCAGCAGCAGGGAAGTCTTTAGTTATTCAGGTCAGCTCTCACACCAGCAATTGCACCTCTGCAAAGAGGGTTGGGGATACAATCACACTTTAAACCGGAGAGGACGAAATGTATTTGTTTCAATACATTTAAAGCCATCTGAACATTGCACGTTCCAATTGCAGCCAAAGACAGGAAAGCTTTTAAGGTCTTTTTGGCTTCTGCTTGAGGAAACTCAGGCTGGGGAGGGCAGTGGCCAAGGGATTGGAGGTGGAGGACGGAAGTAAGCGGGCAGATCTCTGGGGGCGAGTGGGAAGCAAGAAGTGGGATAGCGGGGGATGCTTAGGGCAGGAATGAAGTGTATTTAGAGTCCTCTTCTTGCAGTTCAGCGCTAGCGGGGCAGAGAGGGCTTCCAGCTGGGGGCAAGGCTCTAACGGGCAGGTGTTTGGTGAGCGCGAGGTTAGCGTAGCTGAGGGTGCTGTAGTCACGTTTTCAGCACAGTTGCAGAGCTTCAGGGAGAAAGGAGGATTTTGCGCTGCACTTGCTTGAGGAGGGAAGGAGCACTGCAGGGCTTTGCCTTGTTTACTCAGCTTTTGTGAGTGCCACTAGTCCAGTGCCTGCTAAAGCCCCTGCTTCTCAACAGCTTATTTCTTGCATGCTTGAGAAACAGCAATACACATGCAAATGTACGTGAGCTGATGAAATTCATATTTGAAATGCATTATTTAAGGCACAACCAGAAATGTACTTGGATTGTGGTAGTGGTTACAAATGGATTCGTACCCCAGGCCTTCCCCCCATCCTGCAGGTGAGCAAAGGTACACAGAGCTCCTGCATAATCCACCACACTGCTTAGCAAGCAAATGTGAAAGAGAAAGCAAAGCAGTGTTTGCAAGCGGGAGAGAGAAATACACTGCTTGGTGTATATTAGATAATCACTGGCTTTAGGTAAAAAATCCCCATCATGCTAATGTGGAGAGCCTTTCTGCAGGCAAGGCAGTTGCAGATGCCAGCACACGGAGCCAATTATCTACTTACAGTCCGAGGAAATCTAAAAGGCCAGTACCCACCACTGAAGAAACCAGTTTACTTGGTAGCTCCTAGTGTTTACGGCACTGATGGAGGCAACTTCTGTAAATAGGATCTGGCCCAGCAGAGCAAAGTGACTGAAATGCTTCAGTTGACGTCAGCGGGCACTGTAAGAGGTAAAATGGCCAGGAGAGTGTGCTGAGCTTCTGCATGTTTTCAGTCCAAGAAATACTCCCCAGGGGTTCCAGTCCACCCCTAAGACTTCAAGGGTCCAGCAGTTCAGCTCAGAAATCAAAATGCCACTGCAAAACAGCACACCCAGGATCAGGTTGCCCTAACTCAGGCTTGAAACTTGTCTTGTGTGAGACATTAGAGTATCCCACACTGCACATCACGAACCTGAGGCAGACTGGGCCAATGCTGAGGTCCCTAAAAGCACAAAGAAGAGGCTGTAAAGATTTCAAAACCACAGCAGAAGTCATTTGTAGAATGACACCTATCACCATTACACATTTTGCAGTGAAAGAAAGAGAGAGAGGTATAAAAACTGCCCCAATTTCTGAGTGCTGTGCCCATAATTAGCTACTACCCCACACTAATTGTGTTATGAGGCACTGTGAAAGAAATGCTGGGGAGGCATTTTTAGCCAGCCCCTCAAGTTTTAAGAAAATTATTGCTTAAGACTCATAAATAGTTATTATTTCGTTTAATGAATCATTTTGACCCATTTTTGATTTCCAGTAATATTTAATAGTGCCATGCAGTAAAGTAATTGTGGAATTAGGCATTCATTTGTCACTCATGAACGTTCTTACTTTAATTAGATCGAGTTAAAATTATTATTTCTTTTTTAGAAAGATAATTTAAGTGACAGTCAATGTGTTCGTCATTTCACCAAGGGTGTAAAAAGTTCTTCTAATATTCAAAGATAATAACCAAACCTTTCCCCTCATATTCTTTCACACAAACACATATAGACAAACAAACATTCTCTCTCTCTCCCTATGTGAGTAAAGCTTTGTTCTTACCACCCAGAAAACATAACACTTGAGTAACCTTTCACACTGAACTTAGAGCCTCTTCTTAGGGGTGAAAATCATGTGTTTGAGTTCAGTCCAGACATGTTGAACAATGGATTTGAGACTGAAAGGAAAAATGTCTGAGATGATGAAAAATGTGCTTCCATCCCTGTGCAGTTTTTTAGAATGTTGTTTTATGATCAGGAATAATCTAGTGATGGGAAATGAGATGCTAGTTGCAAGTAAGTTCAACATTAGTTCCAATAATTTGTCCTGTGAATTATCCGTACACCCACAAATCTCAAAGCCCTTAGTCAGCAGGACATTTTGGGACCTAGCAGCGAGATGGCGCAGATGAAGATGTGAGTACCAGGTCCCCAGCCACAGTCTGCCATGCTGCCCTGTCTGCTGCCTTCTTGATCTCCTCCTTCACCAAAGATAACCCTTCTCCTGGTCTGAAAGGACAAAGGAGTGAGGAGCAGATTTTTGGAGACTGGTAGAACTTCATCTGCAAGCAGAAGGGGAACAAAACGCAACCAAAGGGGATGAAAAAAGCAAAACGGAGCACAACAGTGCTGTCCACCAAGCACGGCCAGTCATTTAGGTTTTTTAAGTGAAACGCTAATCAGGACCTCAGGCAGACTCTTTCAAGCAGCTGATGTTTTACTATAGCATGGGAATTAGGATATAGCTAAACCAACTATGCTCGATAGTCCTTCCTTCATCTGGCGAAGAAGGGAAGGCTGATATATTTTCAGGCAATGATGAGGTCAGAAGATCATTCAAACTCTGACCTGGCAACCATGAGAAATGCAAAGTGAGGATCCCACTGAGACATGGGATCAGACTGGTCAGTTCTCTTGTAAGAGCAGAGGGCTGGAGGGGGGAAAAAAAAGGAGGGGAGCGAAAGGGCTCAAGATTGATGAGGTGGGCAGTAGCTCATATTTACATATCTGGGGCCTCCTTGACAGAAGAAAAAATAAGTTAACCCAAAAAATAGAAATCTAATCTACATTCACTTCCCAACTTGTCAAAAGCCCTCAGCGTAAAGCAGCCGCACTCGGCTGCACGGAGGTGTTCCAAAGAGGGACCCTGACCAATAAATCTGTGTGATTTCCTGTTTTGAGAAGCAGACAAAGAGATATGGCCAGGGATGGGCAGAGCTGTCTGCACAAGGGAAGAGCCTGCGCTTTCACCCCAAACTCAAACCCACCCTCTCTGAGGTTAGGAAAAGTTCAGTTCACTTTGGGGATTTTTTAGCCTTATTTCTCATTTTCACGTGTTCCCGTGGGAGCTGGAAGTAGATGGGACAAAGCATTTCTTTCCTGCTGGCAACGAGCAGCACTGAAAGTGTCACACAAAAGTTTGTTCTTGTGAGACTTTCAGTCCAAGGGTGTGATCTTGCAACCCCTCCAGATGTGAATAATGCAGCAACATTTTTAATGGTTTCGCTATTGGTGGGAATTTCTTGGCATTACTCTGCAAGTGTTTTCTCCTCACTTCTTCCCTGCGTTCTGCTCCCTTCCATCCAGTGCATGTTACACAGAAACGGAAAAGGTAAGCAACATTTCCCAAAGAAAAAAGATTTTTCTGCAGAGACCCTTGGGAGCTGTTTGAAAAGATTCCTCTCGGGCGGTGACATCAGAAGTCAAACTATTTTGTCGATAGTACATACACTAACAGCCTGATCCTGCAGTCCCAAATCAATAGAAGTCTCACTGCATACGTTTTCTAGAAGTGTAGAAGGTCCACCACATTTGAGAGCAATTAGGATGAATGCGGTAGTCTTTCAGTGTATTTGCTGAAACACTAAAACCAGTGCCCATGTTCCTGCGAATGAAGAGTTTCAGCTTTGCGGGTAATTGCCCTACAACTTCAGCAACCTCACTGTATCATCACTGCTAGTTTCAAGAATTTTGATGGAAACAATTACACTAGCATGGATTTAAGCCTTTTTTTCTTTTTCTTTTTCTTTAGAGAGACCCAAAATCTATGAAAAGGAGACTGATTTTGATAAGATCGAGCGGGTGGAATTAAGAAGCAAACACAAAATCCAGTGCACCGTAAGCGGGAATCCTGATCCAAAGATTGAGTGGCAGTGGCAGCCCTGCAGCCTCACGGAGACAGTGTAAGTGGACATTCAGGGAGCTCTCACCTGGTAGTTTGGTCTGGTAGTTTCATGACAATTTTTCTTTCCAGGGTGTCTTATTTATCTGTATTAAAAATCACTAGCAATGATTCCCCAGCTAAAGATCACAAGGGGTTGTGAACCCAACAGATATCTAGTTGCCTATGATCCTTTTTGGAGTTGCAAGCACCTTTTATAATATCAGAATTGTGTCAAATAAGTTTAAAATGACTGAAAATTAGACTTGAATCTTCTTTAACTTGACCAGCAAGGCACCTCAGGCTTACTGAGATTTTTTCTTACACTTCCTGGGTGCTGCCTATGATGTTGCTGAAGAAAAAAAGATAGGTGTGAGAGACCAGCGAAGGGCAGATCTCAGGAAAGAGCGCTCTGCTTTTTTTTTTTGCAGAGGTGACATAACGTTTTTTCCCCTGTAAGGGCTAGTGTCAGGCAAACCTGCGAAAGGCTTATGTTTGTTTAGTTGCCATACTGACTTCATGCCACTTCCTAAGGGCTGTCTTCACTGGTGCACACTGAGCATCTGGCTCCCATCACAGCCTCTGCGTAGCTGGCAGAGGTAACCAAGCCTTCACGCCTTACTGAGAGTCCTTCTTTGCTAAAAGTCTGGAGGCAGCATGAGGTGTGAAGACACAGAAGCAAGTCACTCGGTCTGAATTGTCAGATACAAACTTGGCAAGTTAAAACATAAGATGCCTCATGTGGTTTGCCTTATACAAACAGACACTTTCGTTGTTCCAGCTGCTATATGAGCAGAGAGAGGTCTGTGGGGAGAGGTCTTGGCTCAGGCCTGAACAGGTTTGCTTCCCCTGGTAGCCCCGGGGGACCTAGAGGAGCTGTGTGTAACAACTCTGACAGTACTTTAACTCTTCCTTGCAATGAGAAGGCTGAAGTCAGGCTTTCCCTCCTTAAAAAAATCAAGGCAGATCTGGGAAACAGAAGAGAAATTTTGCTGGATGGTTCCTTATTTTCTCACAGTTTCAATGCTTTTCCAAATACTGTGAATGGCAGGCCATGAGACAGAGACAAGCCACAAAGAGAAGCTCCTGTCCCAGGTTCCCTGCTGCAGCAGTCACAAGATCTTGGCTCAGATCAGGTCTCAGAAGTGACCATATGTCCTTCCACGAGGGAAGTAGCCCATTACCTGGTTTAGCAGTTGACCAGAAGTTACATAGCTCCTGCAGGAATAAAACAGCAGAGATTTGTACACTTTAGGTGGGGCTGTTGGCATTGCAGGTCAGCAGAAGGCACACCAAAGCTGCAGCTTTGAAGGTGTTCAACAAGAGCAGAATGGAAATACCGTAAGGAAACAGATTATACATTCTGTAGGAAAGCCACAGAGATGATCTGAAATATTTTCCAGACTTTTCTATCCAGGGAGAGAGCATTGGTCATGAAGGCTGAATTAAAGCAGATGCAAACCAGTGACCTGGTGGCAAAAGACCTCATATAACCCTTGTTCCAGCTCCCTGACTCTCTGATGTTATCAATTTAAATACAATTGCAGAGTGGCGTCTACCTCTTCTGGCCTCCGGGGCAGCCTTATCTTTCTCCAGCAGAAGCTGTAGGAGGATTCCTGTGGGAAATGACACAGACCCCATTTCCTTCTGTTGTCTCACTTCCTCTCTCTCCCTCTCTCTCTCCCTCTTCCTCACTGGTGCACTTTGAATCCCAAAACACTATCATTGTTCCTTAGAGCTGTGATGTGATTTGCTTCCTTTGAGTTTTTTCCCTTCATCCTTAAGACAGAATTGTGCCTTGCAGGAAGTCGCCTAAGACACCTTCTAATTAGGCTGTTTTGAGAGCTATAAACCCTCCCTTGACCCAGGGTGGTAACCATGTGTCTTCTGAGGACTTGGCAAAGGCACAGCTGGCTTACAGATTAGTTGTCTGCAGCACTGGCCCTTGGGCATCACCTATAGAAATCCATATTCATTTTATCTCCCCTAATACTTAGGAGGATAGCGGGCTCTGAGGCTGCGGGACTGGCTATGGGAAGTGTGGCGCCTCTGTGGAGGCAGAGGAGGGAACACGGACGCTTATTCCTGTGATGACTTCTGCAATTGCAGCTAGCTGTGGGCCTGAACTGACTTCACTACCTTGCCGTCCATGGAGTCACAGTTCGTAATATCCAGCCATCCTGGCCTGGAGCTCAACTAGCGATTACAGAATTGTTAGCAAGTTTAAAATTGGAAAGGCTTCCTCGAGCTGCACAGCTGGCGGTGCCCTCAGCCAGTATGCCTGAAGCCTTTGTGCTCCTAAGCATTGGTAGGCCTGTGTCTCTGCTCATTTATGCAAAGAGCTGCAGTTAAAGCAGATAGAAAAGCCCCTTGCCTTGGATGGTGCAAATATACCTCCCAGCAGGACGTGTGCTACATCCGCTACTCTTCAAAAATGAAGACTGGTAACTGACAACGATCTGGTTATCTTGCAGTGAGTATGCAATATCAGTGGAGCCTTCCACTACTGTTATCCCAATATTCATTCGTTCTGCTCCCTCAGCCTGCGCTTCACGTAGCTAGACAGTCACAGTCAGCAGCATCCCCACACTGTGTCGAGTGACCAGCGTTTTGAATTTTGAAATGCATTGCAAGCGCTCAAAGCCCTTAAAGAGACGTAGCTGCAGTGAGCTGGGACGTTACTCCTGTTAGCCAGATTAAACTCACATGACTTAATTTAGCTGTCCAGGATTTTCTCTTTTCAATCTTTAGAAAGTTTGGGATGTGTCCTTGCTGGTCAAATAGAGATCTTTGTCCTGTCAAGGCGGGTCCTAAATAATTTTGAAAGGTTGTGATGAAGGAATTTAGCAATTGCACCAGATGGGAACAATCTGTATCAGCAAAAGCTTTTAGAAGTTTTTCAGACCTAAGACTATCACTTAAGAATGACACCTTTAATAATGGTTCCTTGGGTTATCTGCAATGAGTCGGTTTTTGAACACCACCTTTGCTTTTCCACCTGCAGATGCAGCCCCCGTGGGCAAAGAATTGTGGTTCAGGAGAACATGTACATAGGCAACAAGATCAGGAGCATTGAAAACATAAGCATGAAGCACGGGGATAAAAGAAAGGTATGTGTCTGATGGAAGTCTGAGCACTGACGTCATGGAATAGCAGTGGGTTTTATGGACAGGACGCTGCGCTCGCACAGACAGCTCTCCCCGCGGTTCCCAAGCTGCTGCTGGTTGTTAGCATGCTTTAAATTCCACAGCCCTGGGATCATTTTCAGATCTCCACTGTTTATAAATGCCGGGATTCTGGCAATGATGTCACTTACCCTGTTTAAAACCCTCCAAAGACTTTTGGGTCAAAAACCTCTCTGACTCACTCAGTCTTGAGAAAGCGTAAGACTAGTTCAGTGCAAGAGGGGTCCTGTGAAGCGCGCACAACTGATAAGTACTCTACGTTCATCAAATTGCTTAGCAATTAGGGAGCACTTTGTACGGCCCAAAGAGACCCACAAAACCTTGCCTACTCTCCCAGTAGTAGGAGTTAAACAGCTGTGTTATTTAAGGGGGCCTACCATGGCCAGAGGTAGCTGGCCTGATTTTCAGAGTGTTTTGAGTGCCTGCAGTACCTGCCTGTTTTGGCTGGAGCTGAGTGTATTTCTTTACCGGTTTGGGGTGCCAACCATGTTACTGAGCAGGGGAAGGTGGGAAGACCTTCCTTCTACACTTCCCTGCCTCCTTCCCTGTCCGAACAGATAGTGCCGGGAGCATGCTTCCTGTGTGAACTGCAGAGATCCCAGCCATGAATTATCTGTTAAAAAGCTTCCTGGGTACCTGTGGTGATACCGACTGATATTGTTACCACACGTCCATGCTAATCCTTGAGAAATCGCTGCAGCTGTTCTGCTCTAGATTCACAGACTTCTGGCTATGCCTTGAAGAAGATGCCGCGGTCTGGCTCAGATAGTTGTTTTACCCCTGTTGGACTTACAGAGGTTTGTGGCTCTAGGAGCAGTTCTGCGGTTACACATGTTTTGAGGTGGATGCTTCACATAGTTGAGTGCCTAAACCTGCAAGGTGCTGAATGTTGCAGTCTGTATCCTAGCGTACTTTAAGCACATGATAAAGTTCGTGGGCTACTCACATGCTTAAAGTTAAGCACAAAGCTAAAGTGCTTTTCTGGATCAGGTCCAGACTAAATCAGCATCTGGCAGGATCAGTGCCTTAGCCATCTGCTCTTTCTCATGGAGACTTTCCAGCTCTAAGTGTAATCTAAAACAGAGCTCTGCAAATGTGGAGGTTGGGCTGGGAAGGAGAAAATCACTGTTGGCTTTTCATTCCTGAGTTTTCCCCTTGCTGGAAGATATTTATAAATTGGATTCATTTAGATAGCATAGTCTCCCATAAGCTCTGTCTTTAACGGATTCTCTCAGAATTCTAGATCTTAGGTAAAAAGCAGCCACCTACAAAGCTTCCATTACTTGTAAAAAATGGACACCAGGGACTTGTACCTAAAAAGGTTCTTCCTTCTTTAAGGCTTTCTGGTTGCTGCGTGGACTGAAAAGAGTTTTGTGTCTTTCATATCTACTATTTCTCTCCATATATAGAGTCTGTCTATATATATGTGTCCAAGAGCTTAATTCATGTCTGATTATCAGTTGTAAAGTTACATTAGTCCCTATAGGAAAGAGAAGGGTTCCGCAATTGCTGTGACTCAAGAAATTTCTGTTCCATTATTCTTTGGTTGCTGCATTGTCGCTCAGGCTGGGATAGTGAGATGCTTCTACAACAGAAAAACACTTCTACAACAGAAAAGCATTAAATACAGCCTTGTTGTTGTTTTATGCATGTATATGCCCCTCCCATTTCTTATCTCACCAACTTTGCTGAGGCAAATACATAACTGGGAGAAATTTTAGTTTGTTAGTGGAGTTAGAGATGGGATTTGGCTGCAGTCTCTGTGACAGTGGTGCTTTAGGAGTGCCTTGGAGCTCCTGGATCCAGTGGGGGCGCTCCAAAGGCATCCTGCCTCCATGCTGGTGCATCACTAGGGACTTTGCAGCATTCCCTATCCATTATTTTCCCTTGAAAGAAAAGCCAGGTGCAGTAATGAGAGGAGAAACGGTGATGCACCACTCCCACAAGGAACACCACAGCACATACACACAGGTCAGCGTAGGCATCACCCACGTGCCCGTTTCCTGCCTGTGAAGTGCGGCAGACAGGAGTGCTGGGATGAGGGAGGCATTGCCAGGGGAAATGCTCAGCCGGACTGGGGGCCATGAGAAAACTCAGCTAGATTCATTCACCTGAAGAGGACTCCTCTCTTTCTCCGAGAGCTTCGCCCCAGCTCACACCTTGAGTTCCCCTGTGACTGCTCTTTGCTCTGCCCTGCAGCAGCCGTCTCTGGTCTCTGCCCTTTCTCTAGACTCCAGGCATCCTAAAGTGTTCGTTTTTAAAACATGTTCAAAAGCTCAGCCCACACTCCTTTAACCGAAGCTTCTATGTATTTCATTATAAAGTTCTTTAAAACACAAGTTACATAACTGTATAATTTACAGTACATTCATTATTTTCATCTCCTCCTGATCCACTGGTTGAAAGCACATTCTGAGGTGTTTCCTAATAATTTTTATGTCCTGATTAAGATTTATTCAAATTAATAAAACTAGATTTTTTTAAATCTCAGATTTCAGCACTTTGTCTCCCTGCTTACATTAGCAGACAATTCCTCTCCTTCCCCCTTCTGAAGTCCAAGGCTATCTGTGTTGAGTTAAGTGGAGTCTTTAGATAATAGAATATAATTCAAAAAAGACACTGATGAAATCTCATAGCCTTCAGACTTTTCCTTGTTTTTTATCAGTCGTTATTCCCACCAGAAATGAAATAGACAGGAAACAGCCCAATCCATTCCCACCATGCCCTAGCAAGTAATTCATCTGCATTGACTAGCCAGATGAAATAATAAAGATGTTGGAGTCTGAGCTAGCGTGGCTTTTATTGACTGTGTTGTGAGGCTGGGATTAGCTGAGATATTGGTTATTTTTCCTGTGTGACTTGAGCCTGTCTGATGATAGCTGGAGTCTCAGAGCAGAAGGTGGAATTTACCTAGTTTCAAAGATTTCATCTGTTTCTCAGTGTCCCATCAGTTCACCCTCAAAGACCTGTAGCAATAAATGTTTCTTCTGTGACATTTTTTAAAAATGCATTAACTTTTTAGAGCTGCTAAGAATACAGCAACAAATCTTCAGAATTTCCCAGATCCAGAGTTTTGCTAAAAAGAAAGCTCACAGAGTCAGCAAGCAAGGATTTTTCCATCAGATCAGTGATGCTGTCTCACACTGAGATCTTAAGACGTCTGTTTGACAGAAGTGGCAGGCAAAATTGAGGTCTCTTGTCACCTCTGTCTTAATGATAGTGATTATTCCATTATTATTCTACAGATAGGGAGGTGAATTTCACCCCTTTCTGTCTTCCTAAAGACTGAGTCTCATTTCTAAGAAAAAGCTTGTGGTTATCATTAACGTTATAACATGATATCATTAACGTTATAAGCTCAAAAAGTCTTGGTCAAACACTGGTTGAGGCAATTATATTGTGCCGGCCTAATTTTTCCCTCTGGTTTGGAGTTAATACTGAAGTTTTCACTTTGTGATTTAAACTGCCTTGTAGCTACCTCTGAAAACTGCTTTTTAATACCAGGTGAAACACCTTTGGTTGTATGAATTGCCTGAGTTTCCTCTGCAGGTTGCAAGGAGCTAGGCTGCTATTTTAGTTTCTTCCTCTTAGTAAACTGAACATACTGATCTGAGCTTGGGAGAACAGGTCTTAGTAGAAAAGAACAGCAAGATCCAAACATAATTCAGTCCTTCTTGGGAGTTTCTTTTCATCTCTCTTTTCTCTCTCACGTGGATATATGAGAGAGATGGCCCTACCACATGGATGACTGGACATGTTTTTGCAATGAAACTCATGAATTTATTTAGCTTGTGAAATTCATAAGCAGTCAAGAAAGCCCTGATACCTGAAAATGCCAGGTTTAAACCTCCTGGAGGAACTAAGGGACTACACGTTGTGGCGGGATGGGGTCAGAGAGAAGAACGCGAACAACTCAGTCACGCTGTTTAAATCTGTCACCTTGTGTGGGTGCCTGTTTCAGTGAGCTCCCACAAAGCTTGGCACGCTAGTCTCTGGCAGCAGAAGGTGAACTGTCACGTGGCTGGTTTTTTGGACAAGGTATTAACTTTCTGGGAGGCAAGCCCAGATGTTTCAGGCATTTCCCAAGCACAGGGACATAACGGGCTACATTGTCCTTGGTAAGTCTTCTTGAGAGAGCCTGGCTAGCAGTAAGGGCCTAAGAAAGAGCACTCTTGTCTTTCCTGCCCACTTTAATTTACTAGTAGTAATCCCTGGGTGCAAGGAAGAAGCGTGGGGATGGCCGTTGCTCATGAACAGCCAACACCTATCTGTCTGACCTAGAGCCAGTGATCAGTCCATCCACGTAAGAAACGTGCACCAATGCCTGCAGAGGCACCTCAGACCTCCAGTTTTCCGCAGTTTTCTGCCCCATTCAGCACCTTTCCTAAGGACATGATCACACAGTATGACCGTCAGCTCTGCTATACCTTCTGTGAAGAAGGTAATGATTATCCTTATTCTACAGGGAGAAAAACTGAGGTATAAAAAGTCAGAAGTTGCCAGAATTGCCAGAAATGAGAGCAAACCCCAGAAGTTCCCAGTTGACTTACAGATTCCTTCTCTTATCCCTTGTTCTCAGTCCATCCTTTAGCATGTTTTAAATGGATGAACTAAGATCATGGATAGGGATTGTCAGGCTATAAAAATAAGTGTTATTCTGTGCCATTCAAGTAGATGGATTGGGAGCTAGCTGAATATTTTCTTTGCAGGGTCTCTGGTGAAGTTCCTATTAATTCCATCTCTCTCTAGCCACCTCCACCCCAGCTCTGCCAGAGTTAGACAGCTGAGAAGTTTTCCACCCACTTTTTCTACTCCTCATCCTCGCCCACATGCAGCTAACGAAGTGAAAGAGAGAAGAATTGTTAACTAAAGCTGTTGGAGGGAGGGATTAGGAAGGAAAGAGAAAGCAAGGAATAACAAGATATATTAATTCATGCTGGCTCCAGCTTAAAAAAAGGCCTTGCTGCTCTGTCCTTACCATGAGATGTCTTAAAACACTCATGGTATATGGTTGTGGAATGTTATTTGGCTGCTTCTAAAATAGCTTGTTTTATCAGTCAGAAACATTTCAGTGCAAGACATATGGACTTTATTGAACTGTTCCATTATGGGTTTTCCCAGCAGTAACGTCTATTTACTTGCCATAGCTGTTCTTCAGAGATCGGTCATTTTCTTTTCTTATTGAATTTTAAACTTAATTTATTCTTCTGTAATAATTATTTATTAGCTAGTAATCCCTTCCTCAAGCTGGCAGTATTGGGTGGCCTTTAGGTTAAGCATAGGAAATGGAGCCGTTTACCTCCAAATTCAACACAGGCAATCAGAACTGGTTATCATCCGAAGGATATTTGGTGTTTGGCATGCAGTGAGCTTGCAGGATCTCAGTCCAGCTCCCACTAGGAAGATGTCTAGACATTGCATGCCAATAATTTGTTATTAATTACCATTGGTTTCAGCACTGTCTGCACAAAAGCAAAGGACTGAAGAGCCACAAAGTTTGTGCTACCACTTGCGGCTGGAGAACACTGGCAAGGGATAATGTGTCATTTAGTTTGAACTGCTCTTGACTAGGATATTGGGTGGAAGGTCAACTAAAAAAGTGCAAACTTCCAGGCTGTCAATAGTTCATGAATAGTAATTTCACTGAATAGAGACAAGGTTTCAAAGTAAGAGCAGATTTCACATTTGCATCATTTTTCAGGCTTAGCAAAAAACATTGCGTTCTGTCTGGGAACAGTTTTCTGAGTAGAAGGGAAGAAATACAGCTTTGAAGTCAGCCCTGCTTTGAGTAAGAGGTTGGACAGGAGACCTACAGAGATCCTGTTCAGCTAAAGTCTTTCTATGACTGCATGAGTCTAGATGAACTTTTCTATCCTGGCTCAGTTTCCAGGAATGGAAAATGCTATGCCAGGTGTGTGCACAAAGCACAGAAAATAAATTATCCCCTCAGACTATGCTTCAATAATTTTTTTTCTGCCCTATAGTAAAGGTCCCCAAATGCTGGGTCCATGCAGTTCTATTGAAAGAGAATTCTGATAACATTTTTCACTGTTAATAAAGGGAAAATATTTCTATGTTTTGTTGCTCAAATTCATACCATTTTCACATTCAACTTCTTCTTGCATACTTTTCTTGAGATGTATGCATTGAAATTATAGGGATGGGATTTAGAAAAACAAATCTCTTTTCCCTACCTGCAGCTATGACCACGTTCAGACAAATTTCGTGGAAGTAATATTTGTTTGCCTTGGGTTGTCTATATTAACAGGGGATGAACATCTACCAAAACATCTGCATCGAGACTATCATGGGGATTTCTCCTCCCCCCCCTTTTTTTTCACCATCTAGGTTAATAGGGGTAACTTTTCAATGGGATCTGCTTGACTGATTTGTCCAGATACTTCAAAAAGCAGGTACTGATACCACAGCTGGCTGCCTAAATGTTTCCTTTGAGTTCTTTGTGGTGAAAGACAAAACTACATGGTTTTATGGAGGGGAGAAAGATTTGGACAGTCTCATTATCCTTTAGCGTATCATGTGCATGTTCCATAGCATTGGTCTATTGAAGACTAAACCAGCATCAGGTTAGTTTGGCAACTGAGGACTTTATGCAAGATGCTGCAAAGATAATTGGGCTCCCAATCTCAGGGATTTACCCTGGAGCAAAGAGCTAGAGTAAAAGGCTGATGCATAATGTTTTCAAGGGATTCATCTTATTAAAAGAAAATCACTCCCAATCTTTTTATTTCCATCACTGAAATTGCATACATTTCTGCACTGCGTGTTGCTGGTTTGAAAGTTGCATTTTGGAGGACTTTGGGAGAACTTTCTAAGAGAAGACAGTAAACTGAGTTCTCTCTGGTGTTCAGGTGTGTATCAAACCAGTCTCCAGGTGCACAACAGTGATTTTAAACACACAAACAAGAAAATTACTTTCTCTTTTCCTCAGTGAAATTTTCTCAAGAAATTGCCTCCAACTCAAGCTTGTTTCCCTTCATCCTTTCAACATATTTTTCACCTTCACATCTATACACATTTGAAATTAGCCAGAATGGGGCCTCAATATAGCCCTTTGCTCTTTTTTTTTCCACTACCATGTTAGACTTTTCTTGAGTTACATAGTTAAGGATGCCAGCATGTACATTTATGTCGGCTTTTTCTATTCCTAAATATAAAGTTCTAAGATCCAGTGATCATGAGAAGAAAGATGTTGGTCCTGACTGAGCAGTGATTCAAAAGGAAGTTGCCTAATGCGTAAAGTCACCCGTAGTCCTGTGAACCTGGGCTTGTTAGTAGCCTTCTGCTATGGGAATAGAAAAAGGAGAAGCAGATTGCCTCCCCAGCTGATTTTATATTCAACATAGAGCTATTTTCACATCATAAATAATTATCAGGACTGCACAGCTCTTTCTCTGGTGGACACCAGAGGGAGCTGGGTTTACTGGTCTCCTATTTTCACCCCTTAAAATTTGGTTTGTCCCTGTTACTGGTTAATTTCTGTGTGTTCGGGACCCATGAGAGACAGGTACTTTTCCTTTTCCACTTATCTGTTATTCTGCTGAGGTGAAAAGGAAAACGTTCCCCATTAGCATGTAAAATGCACCTGGGATCAAAACCTTTCAAAC